CTGACTCGGGTGGACATACGGATGTACAAATTGAGCAGAGCTTGGTCCTGGAGATGCAGCTGGAACGTTAGCGTAGACTTGGGAACCGTAATAGTTGTACTGTGCGAACGGATCGTCATGGAGCATACCGAGGTACGAATCTTCCATGTTTATCGTTGATTGACGCGCAAATATAAATTTAATTTTGGCGGGCTTCGGACTGAAATACTCCGACTAAAAATAGAGATCAAATTTTCTTGATTGACATTTTCCTTCAAATCATGGCGTGTAAATTGACAAATCTGTCAGATTTCACGCCTGACAAAAAGTTGTCCTACTCCGAGGCAGGACGACGGCGTCTTTTGAAGTTTGGTAGGCCTTGACAAAATTTGGTAGATCTAAAAATCACCGGACGCACTTGTGTCAGGGAATTGATGACAGATTTTTTCGCAAAATAAACAAAAATTTGCCCAGTGCGTCCGGGCCCTCTGTTGACATATTGAGTGATTTGCCGTACTGAACTTGAGCAGCGTCGAGCTATTTTTCAAAAATAAGAAAACGCTCGCAATCGTAGCTTCATTTTCATATACCGTAGACCCTACACTGATTACAAGAAGACAGGGCGACCCTCTTGCCAGGGTAACGGTTTGCCTACCTCTTTGTAAACAGGGCTTTATACGACATATCTATTTCTTTCTATGACTAATTCAGTCTCTGGCCTTGTATAAAGATACACCTGAAAAAAATAGCTTAGAACCTGAGTGGTTCGTTCAATGCCTTCAAGTGTTTTTCAAAAAAATTATATCTGTAGCGAGAACGTCATAACGTAGATGTATAACAGAGAAACTAAATATTTTGTTTTGTTCATGCTAATGTTCTTCGTGCAGGTAACACGTAACATAGGTATGAAGTTTTTATTGCGTTTGTCTGATCTTGTCAGAGCGGTGTTAGTGTTAACTAAAGGGAGGATCGATTGACGGGCAATGCTAAAATCATCTTCCTAGAAATTTCGCTAATCATTTTAATTTTAATTAAAATGTGGTTATGTTGATGTTATCCTCACTAACCTCTACTTACATTATGCTTGCTTCACTAGTCAAAATCAGCCTTAAAACAATCTAAAAAGGATCTATTGTACTACCATAGTTACAGTCATCACAAGTAAGCTAGACTGTCTCAGTACAGGCTGAACTTCCTGTTGAGCTGGTTATTTGCCGCCGCCTGACAAGATTCTTCATTTCAAAAGTGACAAACACTGCTTGCTGATACATATATATTTATATATA